GACAGAGAGCCTGGCAGGCTGCAGTACATGGGGTTGAGCCTGCAGTACATGGGGTTGCAAAGAGTCAGGCACAACTGAGCAACTAACACTTTCACTTTTTCACTGACCTTTGGTCAGATTGGTCTTACAGAGTGATACTGTTATCACGGTCTAAAGACCATATTTGTGGTTTGTAAGACATTTGTACCTCATCTCATTGACTTCTCCATTATGAGGCAGATATGCTTATGATTTCTGATCTTTATTTGAGTAAATAGAGCCTGGAATATTTGCCAGAAATCTCACTGCTGTCAAGTGAAAAACCTAGGCCATGAACTGAGGTTTCTTTTATCTGTGCTATATTTGTCTCACCTTTATTGAGTCCTCCCACATTGTATGACAAAGATCAAAGATCCATATCGACAAAGGTATGGTTTTTCCAGTAATCATGTACAGATGTGAGAGTTGGACCATAAAAAAGGCTGAATGTCAAAGAATTGATGCTTTCCAACTGTAATGCTGGAGAAGACTCTTGAGAGTACCATGGATAGCAAGGAGATCAAACCAGTCAATCGTAAAGGAAATGAACCCTGAATAACATTGGAGGGTTTGATGCTGAAGCTGAAGTTCCAATACTTTGGCCACCTGATGCTAAGAGCCAACTCATTGGAAAAGACTCTGATGCTGGGAAAGATTGAGGGCAGGAGGCAATGGAGAATGAGATGGTTGGATGGCATCACTGACTCAATGGACATGAGTTTGAGCAAACTCCAGGAGATAGTGAAGAACAGGGAAGTCTCACGTACTACAGTCCATGGGACTGCAAAGAGTCAGACACGACTCAGTGACTGAACGCAACAACGCTGTTTGAACTATGGGTACTGAGGATGAGAAGTAACTTTGGCAGATGAGGTTTTCTGTTTTTGTTTTTTGTTTTCCGGACCTTAAATGCTGAAGAGTGGTGAGGGGAATGTAAAACATAAAGGAGTTGGTAAACAAATCTACGTGATGAAACAGGATAAAAGGTGCAGATAGGAGTGTCTGGCAGGATGTTTGCTGGGAAGGTCAAGCAATGTTTCTCAGAAGAATTAACTTAAGTGACAGCTCCGTGTCAAGCTGAGAACTTGCACTTGCAGAACAGTGCATGTACCTGAGACAGAAATGAACTTGGATCTTTTAAGGAGCTAGAATGGACTGGGGTGGACCAGGGGAGTAGATGCTTACAGTCCTAAGGTAGTTTCGATGTAAGCTTCAGTAGTGTATGCTGAATTTTGTCTCTCAGGAGCAAAGGATTTGGGCATCTTTTACTATACCTTATAAGCTTACAGATTTTGAGTGCTTTAGGGAAGTTCTTATAGTCTAGAGAGGGATGTGAGAACATGGATTGCTTTATCCTCTTTTCAAGATGAGTACACTGAAGAACAAACTATGAAATGATTTTCCCTAGTTAGTTTTCTAACATTGTAAAGTAAGTGATATCTTGTTGCCTCACATACATATGCCTAGATGTCAATTTTTGAAGTGTTTTTTTGTTTGTTTGTTTGTTTTTTGTTTTGAGGGTTTTAAAAGCCTACACTCTCTCCCAAATGGAAGTTTCCAATACTAGAAATCCATAAAAATTGATTCTCACACTGTATGGAAATTTTCTATGAAAGAAATCATTAGTGATCACCCCACCACCACTCCTGTTCTTCTTTGGTATTGCCTCCCTTGGTATCAACTGTTTAGACATATCAATTCTGTCTTGAAAATACCCCATCAAATAATGACTCATATCAAGTCAAGATTTTATTTTTCTTTTCAAGATTACCAACACCTGTTTAATCTGATCATATAAAAGAAAAAAAAAACTGGTGATATATTTATTCTCAAACATAGCTTTAAAAACAATATTTTTTCCTTACATAGCCCATGCTCATAACTCTTGATATTATTTCAAAAGTGACATGCATCTTTCAGACACCATTAATAATGTTGATTTGGGAAGAGGCATTCATTTAGGTAATTGCTTACAATTACCCAAAAGAATTGCAATTAAAATCTTGGGTAATTTGCTTCTTTTATTTTGCCTGATTCCTCACTTATAAAATGTGGATGTTGAAATATCCATATTTTATAAATGTGGATTTTTAATACCACTATTAATTCACCTACTGAGAAATATATAAAGTGGGCCTTTATGGTAAGTGGCTCAGTAGTTTAGAATCTGGCTAATATTTTCATTTTTATTACATCACTTAATTAAATATAACTGAGCATCTTATAGGGGACTGGAATGCAAAAGTAGGAAGTCAAGAAACACCTGGAGTAACAGGCAAATTTGGCCTTGGAGTACGGAATGAAGCAGGCAAAGGCTAATAGAGTTTTGCCAAGAGAACGCACTGGGCATAGCAAAGACCCTCTTCCAACAACACAAGAGAAGACTCTACACATGGACATCACCAGATGGTCAACACCGAAATCAGATTGATTATATTCTTTGCAGTCAAAGATAGAGAAGCTCTAGACAGTCAGCAAAAACAAGACTGGGAGCTGCCTGTGGCTCAGATCATGAACTCCTTATTGCCAAACTCAGACTTAAATTGAAGAAATTATGGAAAACCACTTGACCATTCAGGTATGACCTAAATAAATTCCCTTATGACTATACAGTGAAAATGAGAAATAGATTTAAGGGACTAGATATGATAGACAGAGTGCCTGATGAACTATGGACGGAGGTCCGTGCCATTGTACAGGAGACAGGTATCAAGACCATCCCCATGGAAAAGAAATGCAAAAAGGCAAGATGGTTGTCTGAGGAGGCCTTATAAATAGCTGTGAAAAGAAGTGAAAAGCAAAGGAGAAAAGGAAAGATATACCCAATTGAATGCAGAGTTCCAAAGAATAGCAAGAAGAGATAAGAAAGCCTTCCTCAGCGATCAGTGCAAACAAATAGAGTAAAACAATAGAACAAGAAAGACTAGAGATACCAAGGAACGTTTCATGCAAAGATGGGCACAATAAAGGACAGAAATGGTGTGGACCTAACAGAAGCAGAAGATATTAAGAAGAAATGGCAAGAATACACAGAAGAACTGTACAAAA